TTGAGGGACATCCGGAAGCTCTGAAGTCGATTCAAGCTCAGCTGGACGCTAGGGCCAATGCTCACGCTCAAAACATTTTAGCGGAAGCTCAGCAGAAGGCGTTGCAACACGTTCAGGCTCAGCACGAGGCAATCGCGAAAGCACAGAAAGAAGCGGAAAGACAAGCCTTCATCAAGATCAACGCTCACAATAACGCGTTGAGAGCGCACGCGGCGATGCTCACGCAAGAGAAACCTGCGGCTCAAGAAATCGCAACGGAAAAACCGATAGTTTACAGCAACAATCACATCGCTCTGAACGATCCTGTTCAATACTCGCACGTTCAGCCCGAGATTCTTTACAATCCCAAACCAAAGTACGTCCTTCCTCCCAATGGATACCAACCAGCCCCAACAATCCAGATTCCCACTAAAAACATAATCAGAGAGTATAGACCTGTGATCAGACAACCGACGAAGCCGATCTTCAGGCAACTGCAGCAGGCCAGCCATCAGAAGGAACTGTACGCTCTCAAAGATGCCCAATACTTCTCCAATCCGGAAAATAGCGATGAAGGAAAAGGTGGCAAGGATGTAAGTAGACACGTAATCGTAAAGCGAAACGCGACAGAAGAGAGTGAGTATACTGAAGACGAATTCGATGCGCCGCAAAACGTTTCGGAAGCTTTGCCTCAGCCCGAAGCGCTGCGTATGAATCACAACAATCGCAAAAGACATTACCATCATCATCATTATCCCATTCTTCCATTCGTTGAGCATGAACCGAGCTCCTCGGAATACCATCATCCTACTAGCTCGATCGGTGGTGATAAAGGAAACCAACCGATTATCGTAATAAACAATTCTAACAATAACCACGTTCCGTCCCATCGTCCTCGCGGGAAGAACAAGTATACAACCGTCAAGCACACCTACAATAGAGTTCCTACAATTAAAACCATTAAGCATATCGATTGGAAGATACATTTAGCCTTACGCAAACTGCACAAGCATTTTGATTGATTCATCCTTAAACAAAAAAATTACAATTAATTACACAAAAGTATTATAATTATACAAGCGAATATATAAACTGCATAGAATTAGAATTAGATAGACGCATTATTGGTGCTTCAAATAAAGAAACGTAATTTAAACTAGACTTTGTTTGTAAATCCTGTAAACAATTAAATCAATCAACAACTAGAGAACGCACGAAAGGGAAACCAAAGACAATAACATCATCTTTCTTCCTTGTCACGTGAGTCTCTGAAAACCGATTCTTTTTTTTTATTATTTATTTTTCGCCGAGCGGAGCGCAGCAGCGTTTAAATATCTCACTTTCTTCTATATACACATACACCGAACTTTCTCCAATCTCGTACTAAAATAACATTTGAATATATTTCTTACGTGTTCAATTCATGAATTTTCTTGCAGTTCCAGTACGCTTCCAAGTACGCCTTCGCCTATCGCATCCACGATTTCGAGAACGGCAACGATTACGGACATCGCGAGGCCAAGGATGGAGACACGACGAAAGGTCATTACCACGTTTTGCTGCCTGATGGTCGCGTCCAGAATGTGGATTACGTTGCCGATGCGACCGGATACCATGCCAAAGTCACGTACGGCGAAGCTGCATCCTAAATCACTTCCATCACTAAAAATCATCCGAACGCAATCGTATATTTAATCGTTATCTAGTATGTAGTATTTATTTGTGATCATAGCGTCTCAATTTCGTTACTTTTTTGTTTTGTATTTGTGTCTAAACCTAATTATGTTTATTTATTTTATTTAAATGGGATTAAGTGCAATCTAGATGTTAAGTACACGTAACGTAAATCAATTTTTAGTCGTTTTATATTGATTTTTTTTTTAAATACATCTCATTACTATTTAATATTTGTTACGTTAATTTTAATAAAATATGAAAATCTATTTTGTTTGTACTTTTTTTCTCTCAAAAACCACGAATTTTAAATTAAAAGTTTCAAACTTTAATAATAATGTGAAATTTAACTAAAATTTATGAACTAATTTTTATGACTAATTTATAGAAAACTATGAATATTACATTTAAAATGACATAATTAAATTGATGCTAAAACTATGAATACAAAATTAGTAGAATTTACATAATTATAAAACTAATGATTCTAGACATAATTTAGCATTAAAATTTACATACAGCTGATCTCTAAAGACTTCTACAAATCTATAAGAAAGAAACTAATTCCATTTACATAATCGTGAAACTTATGTTATTGAATTAATATACAGTGGAACCTCGCTTAACGAGTTTAATCCGTTCCAAAATTTTCGGATTTTTACTCGTACATTGAAACATATTCAAAAATACCGGTGGCAATCGAAAACCCGACAACCGAAATCCCGTCGGAAATCCCGATATAAACCCCAAAAATACACATAATATGTGTATACAAGTTTTAACTAATACTGCAGTCTTATACTCAAATTATAGCTAAATCTGTATGAAACAAAGTCAATATCTCGCACAATTTGTTATTAAAACTCTACAAACATTTTGAATTTCGCAAAGACTATAAGAAATAATTGAAGTTAATTCAGATAATCAAATCAAAGTTATAGTTTTATTAGTAAAGTTAAGTATTATCAATATTATTATATTTTAATAAAAAATAAGTTCACTATACTTACTTTTGCTGATATTTACTCAAAAATAACATAAATTTAATCAATATTAGTATTCGTGGTGGAGTAATTCAATTGCAAAAATCTATAATTTTTGAAATCTAAATACAGGAATTGGTTAAGGATAAAATGATAAAAAAAAGAGTGTTAATAATAATGAAATAAAAATCAATTAACGTTCAAATTGTATTGATCTTCGTTTCTTTATAAAATAAAAGTTATATAGAATTCTTTAAAAATAAGATGTACATATTTGAAATTTTTCAACTAAATATTATTACGAATATTGTATATATGCATATATATATTTATGTATAAATAAATAAGTTCGGACAGAAAACAAACAAAAAAAAATGAGAGTAATACCTGGGATTATATTTATATACAGAATGTGCGAGATCTGACAATAAAATTCACTTAAGAAAATATTAAAAAAAATAGAAAAGAACGTGCCCGAATAAGTTTAAGAAACAAAAGAGAATAATTAAAAATAAAAGAAAAACAAACATTCTTACATATCAATATATTCATTCAAAGCCCTCTGTTGCTTTGCTATCTACAATTTAAAAAAAAAAACACCAGAAGGTACTCATGGCAGGGTGCGATACATTATTACCATACATACACACACACACACGTAAAAAGTTATTTAGTGAGTAAGTGTTTGCGAATCCAAATTGAAGACATTCGTTGTACTTGTATGCTCTTACGCTATCTACTTCAGATCTACTTCCAAGAGAACAAGAAAGAAATTAAATTAAAAACAAGAAAAAGAAAGAATATATTATATAATATATATATTAAAATCACTTAGCATTTAAATTAATAAAATAATAATAATAAAAAAAAAAACTTAATATGTACAGACCAGAATTTTCAATATTGCAAAGAAACATTAATTACACAGTAAAAACTAATAGAGTTGGTAATCATGCATGATCTAGTTGTAAACACTACTAATTATTATTACTATCATTATTAGTTTATATATATATAGAGTTACTTTTGTAAACGCTAAAGTCGCTAATTAGAAAAATTTTGAATTATTCGTTTGTTTTTTTTTTTGATTATCCACGTTTGTTTGCTGGTGTTGTTGTTGTTTGTGTGTTCCAAAATGAGTTAAGAAAATGCAAAAGCGGAACGCTCGATGTTTTCGTGTGGATCGCATTTTTATTGTCAGATTTCGTGTGCGGGAGTATTCGAAAGATGAGAAAAATAGAAAGAAGAAATACACAAAGACGAATCACACAAAATGATGAATAAGAGAAGAAGAATCTGCTATTATTATTCGATAACACATACAAAGTCAAGAGATATATTTATGTATATATATATTATAGAAACTCTTAATATAATTTACTATATAGTAAAATAAATATTTCGTAATATATATATATATATATATGTACAAATGTCATTTACAGTTTTTATTTTGTTGTCATTGTGATCACGTTGAAGAATATAATCAACGCACGTTTATTTAGGCCTTCCTCTCTTCCCAAAGAATCGTTATTTCAGAATGGAATTATTATCTTTCTTTTTTTTTTTCTTGCATATGACATGCACATATATAGATTTGTTCCAAGAAGACGCAAAACTGAACGAAACTAATAATATATTTACACTGAACTCTTTCTTTCTTTTTCTCTCACTCTCAACACCCTCACTCTGTTTCTCTTTCACTCTTTCTCATTCACCCGTGAAATTCTTCCTCCTCCTGCATCGGTGATTATATTAAAATAGTTTTTAAAAATAATATAAAGGTATTAAATACGATAATTTAAAAAAAAAATAAAAAATAAATATTCTCGAAAATTCAGTTACATCTCCATATTGTCTCACTGCATATAATAATTTCAATATATTAATTATAATAATATAACTAGTAGAGAAGAAAAAAAAATTGTACTAATAAGAATAATAATAAATAAAAAGCTTTAATACAAAATAAAATAGACGATCTTTTTTTTTCCAGAAAATTGCAATATTCCCTTGATGTTGATGGATGAAACATCGTTATTTCTTTTTTGTTTGTTTACCTCCCTTCGTCCGTCTGTCTCTCTCTCTTTCTCTTTCATACAATAAAAAATAAAAGATAATAAATAAAATGACTAATTTGTTCATTCCATAGGGCAATAATCAATAGTAATAATAATAATATAAAAAGAAATCAAATCTGAATATACAAATAAGTACAGAAGCCGTCGTAAAAACTATATATATAATGAATACAAAATATATCTATATATATATATATCTTTTTTTTATATGTTATTCAACTGTGATTATAAATTGAGGTAACTAAAATCAAATTATCCTTAATAATAATAATTATAATAGCAATAACATAATAATAAAATAAGACGTGTAGGTGATAATGTTGTTGTTGTTGTTTGTTATTGTTGCTGTCGTCGAGTTCTCGTTTACATTGATATATCGGATATATTGCAAAAAAAAAATGTCGTTTTTTTTTAATACTACGCATATAGTGAATACTAAAGATATTTAACTATCGTAACTCGAACTGTGATGGTGTTCGGCGTGCGGCGACGGCGGTGTAGACAGGTTAGAGCTGTTATTGCTAGCTATGGAGTGTCTGGGACTGCTGTTGCGCTCGGATCCCTGAAATTCGAACTTTTTAAACGATTAATGCAATCGTCCTAACGACTTGCCAATGTATTAGCGCTAAACGATTCGATTCGTTGCAAGAAAAAAAACAAGCCTCAGATTACTAAAGTGTATTCACGTGAACGAACAGCTGTCCTACTAATTGATCAACGTTGAGGAATGTAATGAAACGGACGCGGTTTATATATAAACACATGTTAATAGTTATGTAACAACTATCAACATTCCTTGTATATATGGTCGTTTCAATTACTGGTCCACCCACCTTTCTGGAAATCAGCGAATCGGTGAGAGGCTTCGCACGATTCGCGTATTCGTGGGTGGAGCGACGGAATCGGACGGGGCCCGACTCGACGTGCGCATCGTGTACTATCGGTTTTACGGTGGTAGGATTTTAGACACCGAGCACCAAGATTACGATAGCGTTGATTAGTTAGGCGAGTCGTGCTGATTCGTTCGCAATCATAGAAGGTCATCATCACGGGCGGTTTCTCTCTTTCCGAATATATTTTGAGGAATATTTGCGTTGACGGTTGGATTACTTACTTTAATGATGTCGTGTAGGGATGACATGCTGCCGAGGCTCGCTGGATCCGGGGACGGTGACGTGTCCGATGGGCGGGGCAAAGCCGGCGGAAGTTCACGGGGTCGGGGGGGCGCCGCCCTTCGAGCGCCGTTGTAGGCGGGGAAAGCTGTTCGTATCGGCGTCGGATTGGAGATTTCCGGACGCCTCCTCTCGCCATGCTTCGGTGGTAACGTTGATTTCGAAGACTGAAAATTTCAAATTTATTAATAATCTTTTACTACCATCAAAAACACCGTAATTCTAACTGCCATACAGAAGCAAACATACAAATTTTATTAAATAAACCAAAAGTTAACAATTTTTCAACATACTTATCAAGAAAAATGTCAATCGAAGTGAAAATAAATGAAAAAAAATCCTAATGGGTTAATTCAATTGAATGCTAAACTAGCGTCCGTAGATTTATAAGCTTTTCAAAATTAAAAAAGCTGTTCTATACGTAATTACATGTGTATAATATCCTTTAGATGACGATCTTGAAAGACGTGTAAAACGCTTGTAAAATAAAATAAATTTTCAAGTGAAAATATAATGAAATGAGTTAAAAGTGATTTGTTTAAATTTGGTCAATTTGAATTTTCTATATGCAGATGAAATGTGATGTAAGATCATAGCAACATCAGCAGTACTTACTCTAGGTTGAACGTGTGGAGCTTCTCCAGCGGCCATGCCTGCAGCCACCGTCAGATCAATCAATCTTTGTCGTTCGATGCCTTGGCCAGGTCCCATGTGGGATATATGATTGAAGTTCGTAGGCCCCGATATCAACTTTGACCGTCTATCAACGTTCCTGCAAATGCAAATAAACGTAAGTACACACTGCCTTTTCACAATATCTTTTGATATTACAATTTCTGAGACTTGTTTCCCTCCCGCAGCGAAAACTTCCGACGCGTCCTCTGGAGAATTCTTCCCTCCCTGTCGATCGGCACGATGTTGTCCAGATTCAGGACCTCGTGCTGATGGATGTTGGACAGATAAAGCATGTGCACGAGATCGTTGAGAACACACACGGACAAACTACCGGTGTCGTTGAGCGGACGAGAACGTTTCACATTCAAAGTCTGCACCCATTCACCGCTGCTACAATTAAATATATCCATATGGGTTTCGCTGTATATTATGAGATGACCATCCCGGTAACCTGAAAATATTGTTGTATTAGAAATATCTATTATTCACAGAGGTGTTAATTGAAATTACCTATACTTGTTGGTACTGCTGGATACATCATCTCTCGCTCCCTGGACTTCCTACCGTGTTGGTCCACGTAGGCAGCGAGTGATCCAAAAACTAGTAAAAATTCGTGACGTGGCAGTTCGATAACTTTTAAAGCGTCGACGGAACTCATCGAGAGCGTCGCGTGTAAAGGATTCTCGGGGTGAAGTAAAGCTGCAACAGAAATATTATGTAAAACTTTGAAGATCTAAACTCCTAACGTTTACTCACATATTGGTGGATAATCAGTCTGTAAATTGTAAATGGTGAATGTGGATGGTGAGCCTACGCACAGTCTTCCATCAGAAAGGATCTGCATGGATTGAACACAGGCTGGAAGTACTAGCTCTCGTTTACGATTGTGTCTAATTCTCGTTCTGTTTATCTCGTAAATAATAATTGATGTGTATTGCTGAAAAACAAAAACAACGTGAATGTAAAGTGAAAAAATGAACAAACACAATTAACACTAACTTGTTTCTTGACGGCTACGCAGATACCATAAGTGGGTAAGCTCGTGAGTGCTCCTACAGTAAAAATGGTGCATCCCTTGCTTTCCGCCACCTTGATCCACTCGGTCTCATCGCCGTCCAAAGCCCTTATAGGCACTAATCTTACATGTCTTTGCTTGCCGCTAATCACTACAAGAAGGTGTTCCTGTGGAATATATTCCAACTGGTAAATCTTTTTACCATCTCCCACTTTAGCAATTTCTGAGAAAATAAAACATCAATTAACATCAATCAAACAAGTTTCATATCGAATTGTTAATACCTGTTGTATCTAAATCTACGCAATACAGTCCATCCTCAGTGCCCAAAGCTATCCTATCCGGATCGATGACAGTGCCGCTCAACGTATTCCTCAACAACGTCAGAGAGTTATCGACTAATTCACGAGCTACCAGTACGGTAGTATTCGGTAAATTATTCCTCTTCATGATTCGATGCAATTCTGAGAGAGCCACAACCCACTTGTTCTTTTCCCCCTCGGAATCCGCCAGCATCAACATTGAATTCCTCAAACCAGGCGGCTCCATTAGCGAAGTGGTGATCTAAAAACAAAACGCAAGAGGTTTAACAACAATCAATATTTGCTCATTAAATCATTCTTACTCTAAATATGCACGGCACGTCCTTCTTGTTGGCGTGTATAACATCCGATTCTTTAACGCTGCTAACGCTAAATTGCGGATCTCGCATATCCAGCACCTGCGCCACGTGCACGCTTGGCAGAGCATTTCTATCGGCCGAAATATCGTACAGGAATAGTTTGAAGTCGCAGACGACGACAAATTGCCTCAACCAACCTAAAAATCCGGTTGATACATAAGTTAAAATACTTCTTTGAGCCAAGTATAATTTACCTTTCTTAACGCCTCCAGTTTTTGGTACCTTGACGTAACCTTCGTAGGCTGTTCCAATGCCACGCGTTGGATCTATACCTAAAGGCCTCTTAGCTGCACAGAAAAATAAACACATGTATTTAAATAATTAAAGCAACATTCTCAACGTATAATTTACGTACAATAGAAATTTGAATGAAAGACGAGCAGAAGAAGTATTACTTATTATTCGCACAAGGCACAAGGATATGGAATAACTTACTTTGATCTGGCGGAACTGGACATACGCTTGGAACGTGCGGACAGCAAGCCGTGTGACATGTAAACCCGCAAATTTCGCAAACCATTCCTTGGCGCATCAAACCAACCATGAGCGAAGTGCAGTGACTGCATTTCGTCGGGCTCACGAACGTCCGCACCAAAAACTGATGAGATTTATGCTTCATGGGCGAAGGCTGCTCATGCTAAAATTCACAAAAGTGAGTATTTCATAATGATCCATAGTCAATTAATGACTTACCACGCTCAGTTCGGATAAATTGCTTTTCGATGAGTTTATACTAAGAGCTCTGTTATCCTCGATGTCGCCGTCTTCGGATTCGATGGACGTTCCCGGAAACAGCACCTGCGACAAGGATCCAGTGTCGTACTGAATCTGGTGCCCGTGCTGCTGATTGGTGTTGGACTCCTTCAGGAAGTGATCCAAGTAGCTCATCTGCGATGAAGGTCTCTCGAGAACTGCATCCAGAAAATACGGGAAATGATGTAATACAACCATCCGAAAATCGATACCAAATATATACATGACAATCACATTCCCATAACATAATCTGTGTAGTTACAGTTACAACAGTTATCAGAATATATTTGCTACCAATGAAAAGAACACCACCAAAACATTTAGTAACCCAAAATAGTATTAAAAACAAACTCCAACAAAAAAATTGTATACAAAACGATTAAGAAAACAACAACAACATCAACAAAAAAAGGAGAAAACTATTAGCAGCTCATGAAAGGATCGTATAAATATGTATAAACAAAATTTTTAAAAAATAATATTAGCACTCCAAGCCGATTCATTTTTTTTTTAAATAAAGAACAAAATTCACAAACAAACCAAAAGAAAAGGTAAAATAAAGACACTGAATAAAGCTTAGTGGTAAATATTTTCAGGCTCTAGCTGATGACATTTTATCAGGTTTTTTTTTAAGAAAATACAGTAAAAACGAACCCTTTATGTGACGCCGAAGAAATGAAGAAATTCCCACGCTTGCTGCATGTAACAGTGTACGGAAGTTTTTTTTCACACTAATTACACACTAATATACATATATTTCATATACACTATTTGACTAATATGCAAATGCACGGGGTGATCTAAGTAAATAAAGTTATTTGTCTTAAAAAAAAAATAAGAGGAAAAACAAAACTGATTACAACTATTAATTGATTTGGATGAAATAGGTAATGAGCTTGAACTATAAATGAGTAACGAATCCCTGGATTATCTAGAATCGACGTCCATTTAAAAAACTTTGATTTATATAAAGTATTTTCAATTAGTTCACTAAGCTAATCCATTAACCAATAAACTCTAAATACTTAAATAACTCAAATTTTAATATTGTCTCCTTTACTAATAACTTATTGCAAAGACATACAACTGTATACTATAAAACGTACTGGAAGGCGAAAGGTTGGTCGCATAGCCACACTACATTTAATAATTAATAAGGTAAGACACACTGAATGTCTAAAACTGAACACACGAATTTCCAACAATAAACAGCCTTCTAAATCAATGAATTAAATAACAAATGCTTTTATTATTTATTGAGAATATAATTATAAATGTTTTCCTAACAATTCAATTAACAATTCAAAATAGTGTACCTTTTTTTAGTAGTTGCAAGTGATTAGCAAATTATTAATAACGAATTACCAATAATTTTTTTTCAGCGGAATAATAAAAATAGAATAGTATTGTGACTAGAATTTATCGAATTCCGCTTAACAAAATGCATCAAAATAAGAAATACAAATTTATTAATCTATTAACAGCTGAGTAACAATAGTCGAACCAAACAAAAACAAAAAAAAATAAAATAAACAGTGAACAAATTGCATGAATTCTAAACCAAAAATGAGATGAGTTGTATCACAGAATTTGTATCATCATCATCCATTTATGTGAGCAATTATGGTGGCAAGTTAGATTCGCGATGCAATTGTATAGGAATAAAAACGTACGTCTCCGTAGACTATCATCAATAAGGTTTTACTCAATAAATAAAAAATAATAACAAGTTCGTATTTACACACTGTACAAAACAATTTCCGTAAACACAATCTGCAATAATTAGTTTTTTTTTTGTTTAAAGTAAATTAAAAATCGAATATAATTAATCACCCCATATTCTTTCTTTCCTTTTTCCCACTCTCGCACTCTTTCCACTTAGTGTGTGTAACTTTTTTTTTTCGTTCGCTTTTCTCTCTCGCACACTCTCTTTTCATTCTTTCTCATTTGCATAATATGTATGGTGTGTATCAACCGTACAAACGTAGAAACAGTAAAAGGATTCCCCAGAAGCAGGATGTGATGCCGATGACAAGGGGCAGCTGCCTCAACCACCAACCCACTGAACACACATAATATAAAGCACTGTTACCAATAATGCCTACCTTAACTACTTAGGAGTGCTAATATAGAGATTACATTAAATCCATCTGCGTTAGGTCTCAAAAATTACTCGTTTAATTTAAATAATAAAATGATAATAATAATTTTAAAAATAGTGAAAGAAAGGATAAACTATTGAGCAGAAGAATTTCGAAATACGGATTTGATAGAGATTAATTAATTCAAGACGATACTAATAGAAATTCGTAAATTGAACGGTACTTACATCCTTCGCCGGTATCGAGTCGATGCTGCAGGTCCTTCATCTGCTTCTCCTTACTCTTGTTCTCCATAGCCAACATGTCGTTCTTCTTTTTAACGTCCCGCAGTTCCCTAACAAAAGCAAGCAATAGAATTAAACATGTTGCATTTAATTTTTAGTTTATAATTGCTCTTACTTTTGTACGGCCAACAATTCGGCGCGCGTTTTACTCAGATCCTCGCTTATATTTTGCTTGGCTTGGATCTCCGACTGCAGCGAGCTTTGCAGATTCAGCAGCTCCATCTTATCCAGCTTCTGTGACCTCCTGTTCCTCCAGTTCTTGTCGATAGCGCCGACGGTGTTCGATACTCCTGTTCGATCACAAGATTACATTACAACACGTTCATCCACTATTTTTACCGATTGTTTTACCTGAATGCTTCAAATACTCCAACTCCTCGGTCATCTTGGTGGCAAGGGCCTGCAAATACGACCGCGCATCTTTCTCGTCACTGACCCACTGAATTATCTCTGATAATTGAGTTTCCCATTGACCTAAGCTATCTTGTTTACTTCGCAACTGTTCATATTCCGCCTCCAGCGTGGCCCGCTCCGATTGTATCCGGCCCATTGATTCTGTCAACTATAATAATGAAAACGGAGCCACTATTAAATCCAACATTCGATGAATAAATCATATCCATTATAATATTTGAACCCATCACCTCCTTTAAGCAGATAATCGTATGAGTGGCGAATAATTAGAGTGATTAGCGGTCAATGTAAATCAAACGATATAGTTAATAGATGTTTAAAATTACGAATTAGTCCAGTTAGTCCATTTTTTTTAATGTTTTTCTTTAAATGTTTCAACTTACAAACTCGACTTTCGTTTGCAACTCTGTGTTGTCCTCAACTAAAATATTTTTTTCCCTATCGTGTCTGTGATTTAACTCGGCGATTGTCTGTTCAGTGTCTACCGATGCTTCCAATATAGCTTTCTCTTGTTTTTCTTTCATCTGTTGCACCTACGTTTCAATAGCAAAGAACAAAATAAAAATCCGCTCACCCATCATATACTTTTACATATACGTTACATATCAGTAATAAAATTTGATAAGAATACAGTCTGAAAATTAGTCCGAAGGAAAGACATTAAAGAAGTTCTTATTGGCAATATTTGATAAGAACATTAAGATTAGAAAATACTTTGTCTTGTTTAAAGAAAAGATAAGGAAAGTTATGCATTCAAAATACTTTTAACAATTACTTCCAATTACCTAAATTGTGCAACAATTTGACATTTCAGTTTAATAACATTATAATAAAAATAGATAATATCAATGTACCATAATTAAAAACGTCATTGTTGTTTCATTATAAATATTCAAATTGTACATACCTCACGTTCGAGGAGATCCCGATGAGTTTCAGCGTCATGCAATTGTTCCCTAAGCGATGAAATCTCTAAATTGTATCTCGTTTGCTGTTGCGTCAGACTTTCATTATACTGGACCTGCGAGTGAAACAACAACAAAAAAAACCTTAGAAAAAAACAGCGAAGAAAATATTAAAAAAAAACAAATTTAATTTACCTCGAGCTTTTCCAGTTCCGCTTTGAGCCTATGATTATCTTGCTGATCTCTCGGGGCCAATTCGTTTCGCACCCGAAGACGGTCAGACTCTGCTTGCATTTGCCTACAATACTCCTCGGATCGTTCCCTCAATTTGCGCTCCTTCCCGGCTTCGGCAATCGCATCCTCCGCCCGCGACTCCAACTCACGTCGCAACTTCTCCGCTTTCCTAATATCGTGCCGCAGAGAATCCACCTTCTGCATGACCGTCTCCAACTCCTCCTCCTTATCCCTAACCTTATACACGAAACAAAATATTGCAAGAAACGAACATAATAAAAGTTCAATTGGCATTACCTGTCTCGATAATTTTTGCTTCTGCTGACGAAGATCCGAGAGCTTGTCAGAAACCTCCGTGTACTCAGCCATCGCGAGTTTCCGTTGCGCCAGCGCATCCTTTAGCTCCTTATCCTGCAGCTTCAGCTTCTCCAACAAATCCTGTTTGTCTTTAAGAAGCTCCTCCTTCTCCTGCTTCATCTTCACCAGCTTCTCCATCTCCTTCATTTTAGCTTTAACAAAAAACGAATACGTTAAAATCAACCTTGCGTGGTGTTTATAATGATAATACTTACTGTCGACCGTGTCGATCTGCTCGTTGTTGCCGTCCTTCGATTGATTCCCAGCATTCTCGTAAATCAGCAACTGAGACTCGAGTTCGCAGTTTCGTTTCGTCAACACGTTGATTTCGTCTTGCAGCTTTCGGGTGCCGTCCGGAGACAGACGTTTCTCCACCTCGCACGTAACGAGCATGATGTCACCGTGATTCTTCTTGTTATGCGCGTCCACTATGTTAGTCGTATTCCCAATGGATAACGTTCCTAAATCCGAAATGCAACTGAAATCATTGAGCATCCATTAGAATCGGTCCAGTAAGGTAAATCTTTCAAATCTATTTACCTGCCCTGCGTAAATGTGAAACCGACAAATGGTAAGTGGAGACCTGTAAATGCAGAATTCGCAGAGGTTGGTGGCACCGCATCGGACGTCCGAATATCGGCGTCGTCGACGTCAAAATTGGAGGTGTCTGTGGGACTAGAAACTTCAGGAATATAGGGAGCATTGCTATCCCTAATACCTTCCCAGTCAACATTTTCAAACCAAGGGTGTGTCTGTAACAAACATAAATCAATTATTTTTTACCATTTCTCAATACAAATATTCTTATCTATTATAAATTTTATTTTATTATCCTTCAAAATCTGTAGTGTATATAATCAAAATAAATAAAGCACGAACATTAACTAGATTTATGATATAACTAAGATTTTGTCATTCAAGTACTAGTTTATTAACGATGATAATCATATCTCCCATAATCGCATGTCGGCATGGAAGCATTAACACGGAAGTGTCATTAGAGGAGTCGCTAAAACTAATTAAATACAAAACTTAATTAGTGCCTCCTCCTATCTCCTGTATATGGAATATGGTACAGTTTATTCACCCACGCCAGAATAACGAATACACTCCTCGATATTGCACCTCGTCAGCTATATCATGAAAGCTGGAACTATTAACCCAGATATGTCGTCTATTGTAATATTACGTTCGCTTTACGCATAAATGCATTCTATAGCTGATACCGTCTTTTGTGAATGAAATCGTTTCAGTTGAAAACGCATTGTATGTATCCCGAAGAAACTGCTATAATCATTTAATATTTTCGTTATCTTTTACATTATCTTCATAAAAGATTGAATGCTTCATTTTAATGCATTCATTTAAGAATATCTGTAATTTATTATGTAATAAGTATCTATCAGCTAAAAGTTATGATTCAATAATAATACATTGGCTGATTACAAATGTTCAAATTATTCGATGTCGACATTTCTCAAATTATAAATTGTCATGTAGAAATTTATTTTTTTTTTAAATGTGTACCAGATGTACATATTTAATTTAAAATTGATGCAGTCGAGTGAACTGGAAAACTTCTAGATAAAGTCCGCTTCTCAGCTAACCGGATTTTCGTGAAACATGTGCCTTCCATGACAACAGGAAGCGATCAGTTTTCAATATGACGAACATAGACCATATTGAAACAGACTCTCAAGGCGACGAAACGGGAAGTCACGATACACAATTATAATTCTCTTTTTATGGTGTAACTAATAGTATTTCAGTTCAATGATTAATTACCTTGAAATCCTGTATCCCGTTCTGCCCTAATCGAAAATCTTGACTGCAAATCAATTGTCTTATCAAATCCTTGGCGTGCTCGGACACCTCGACGTCCGTCGGGAAATCGAAGCAGTTCTTGTGGTTCATGATTTTCCCGTACGTTTCGACGAGACTCTCCGCGTAAAAGGGCGTCTCTCCGAAGAGCATCTCGTACATGCAGACACCCAACGACCACCAATCGCATTCCGGCCCGTACCGTCCCTGACCATCCTCCATGGCCCTCAGGATCTCCGGCGAAATGTAATCGGGCGTACCGACGGCAACATTCGATTGGACGGTTCCATCCTCGTTCAACTTCAAACAACTACCAAAATCTGCCAATCTTATATGTCCGTTGGCATCCAACAAAACATTATCTGGTTTGATGTCTCTGAAATTTAGAAAAAAAAACAACAAGAAAAACCATGAAATAATTGCCGTCATTAAATAATAAACGCAACATACCGATGGACGTATCGTAATTTGTGAATGGAGTCTATAGCAAGCACCATCTCAGCTATATAAAATCTTGCCATATCCTCTGGAAGACGGTCCTCAAATTTAGTTATCAACGTCAACAAGTCACCACCGCAATAATAATCCATAACAAGATATAAATTTGATTCATCCTGAAACAAACAAACTGTTGGAATCTGCACAAAGGCAATTGTGAAACTCGTGCACTCACTTGAAAAGCATAATGAAGATGCGTAATCCACCGCCTGTCTCCGTAAACGAGCACATCTCGTTCCTCCTGGAAACAGGCGGTCTCTGCCCTTTTCAACATTTCCCATTTATTCAACAGTTTCATCGCAAAGACCTGCAAAACGTAATAGATAAGAATGAATATATTTAGATCAATATGAGAGAACAGAATAGTTGGTAACGCGTAAATCATAGATAATGCCATTAAGATTCATAATGTAAGGCATGCCCAATTCTACTGAGAATCACCTAAATATTTACGCAATGATTAATGTTTACTTTATATAATGTGCAAACTGAAATATTTCGTATTACCTTATCGGAGCCTCGCATCTTAACGACGCAGACTTCGCCGAACGCCCCTCGTCCGATAACTTTGATGATTTCGAAGTCATCTCGGGACAATCTCAGCGACTTGATGTTCGAAGCTATGGGTTTGACTGTAAACATGAACATTATTGATTTAGCCAAAGAATTTCGTAATTGTTTAATATGCGATTTTTGTTTATCTCACCGAACTCGATGAACGCAGAGACGGTCTTCTCGCGACGTAAACTCGAGTTGCAGCACTCGTCGAAGAGTATGAGAAGCACATCTATTAGCGTCTCTATGCTAATAGTCTGCGTCTGCACTGGACCGCTAAGGAATAGCGACTCCAGTTGCCGTAACCGTCTCTCACCAGGTATCTCTGGCATGGCTCCACCACCAGCCTGCACATCACTCATCCTTACAACTGGTCACATTAATATGTGAAAGGGCCTGCAACAAACAAACAAACATCACGCAAATTACTAAATTGTCTCTGCAATGGGCTCACACTAATAATACACAATAATCAAGAGAACAAACAAAGATGTAATGAGAAACAAACGATATTTATGAAAATACAAACGATTCAGTTTCGTTCAGTCAAGCTTAATGAACTTGGCATTGAATTACAACAATTATTCTTATTGCTATAATTACACGCAACGCAATTCAATTATCTTTCTCCATTAGATTATATAGTTTACACACTTTCAATCGCCAATACTCAATACACAAATAAATCATCATTTCAATCAAAGATTCACACATTTCAATATTCTATTACGCATATAAACGTTCATTATTATTAAATATTATCGTTATATAATAATACAAATAATAATCTACAACATTGCTTCACGTTTTAACCACATAAAACGGCTACAGACCGAGGCCTTCCTGCCGTTGATAATTCAACGTTTCATTTGTTTACATGTAATATCTTCACGTTAGTTTATCACGGCTTCATTTTTTTATATTATTACATAATTACTAAACAATTGCGTAATTGCGTTGCACTCTTTTACATTAAATGACACATTTAATATATCTCTTCCATTGATTGAAGATCCTCAAGAAACGTCAGAGTTTTAACACGCCACATACGCGACCAGACGCAACAATAATTTACATTAGAAAGTATAAACAAAAACTAGGTTCTCCATATTTTATGCAACAAACTAATAATAACAATATTCAAAATTATTGTAATAAGTGTAAACACATGTAATTACTTTCCTGGGTATGCAATTAATTTGTCGTTGAAGAAGAAAAAAAAAACTTTCTAAGCACTTGCATATTTCGTTTACTGATGTTTTCACCAAATAACATAAAGAATATTAAATAATAATCGCAATTAATCCTTGATTAATAAAACTGATTGCGCAATAAAGTAATACTTTGTTTTACTAAATAAAGAATAATTACAACTGTTTAATATTTAGTTAAACTGCAGCATAGTTTACGCAATAACGAAATGTCGAATGTGTGCAACAAAAAAAAATGCATGTTTTAAAAGTTAATGTATAGGAAATGCAAATAATGTTATTGCGTAATTATTTCTGTTAACGAAATATGAAAGTTTCGGTATCGATGTTACGTGGATGTGTCATATAAGGGCGTTACAGTCGAATTCATTCGGTGCAGATGGTTTCCACGCTTTATTCCTGCAATTTGGGGGTTAATGTTGCATGGACGAAAGTAGTGAGCGAGTGTGGATTTCCCTTTATGGATAAACACCAAAACGTAGGGCGTGTTCCCCCATTCACAAAATTCCATCAATTTTATGAAACTTACACAATTATCAATCGTTTTAACGCACTTTTTAACTTATCCAACAAACTATTATTTGAAACACCACAAGAAACTTCAATTCACAAATTACATTGAAATCACTTCATTGTTCCTATTGATTATAGACGATAGCAAAAAGTAATAATAAACGACAATCTATAGATAGCAAATACATTGATAATATTGAAAAAGACGACTCGGAATTCCATTAAATTTAATTAACTAGAAACTACTCATAAATTAATACTATTATTTCTAATGAATATTGCATCTTAATTCACATTGAAAATGTTGCCTTGAGTTTACAAAAGATTTTGAATATGAAATGACTAGTCGTTTATTTTTTTTTCTATTGTCAACTTATTGTTTGATGCATTCAATGCTCAATAACAAATAGTGTAATGTATTTTAATAAGTTTCAAATAGGAAGTTAACCATTAATACTTTTTAGTACACACTAATCACAACAACAGCAAATTTAACAATCGTTCTATTACATTAATCCTGCGCTCGAATATACCCAAAAGTCATTAGGTAATTTCGAAAAACGAAAATTTGTTATTTAATTCAAGCCAAAAATTATCCATTGATTTATGGCAAACGCGTCTCGAGTCGAAAAAGCAAATCTTGAAATTAAAAATAGATTACACTGTCTTTTCGTTTAATTGAAAATAGAATCGCGAAACTTCAATTATGTAACAACAATCTGCGTCAAAATTATCAATTGTTAGAGAATCTTAAAGTAATGAAAGAAAATAATGATTCGAATGAGCGTTTCTTAAATAGAATGTTATGTAATATAAAAAAAATCAAGACACTCACGAAAAAAAGGAACTTGAATTAATGGTAATCCAAAAACGATTACTCTTTGCATTACGTAACAATTGCTCTGAAACAATCGATCAATGACAATTACATTCTTCGTTTTACCAATACTACTATGTTCGATAAATGAAATGCAAACAGTGATAAACTTAGTTCGTAATTGATTTATTGTATTCGCACGAAAATGTTTTCGAAGAATTTCAATAATATTTAGTACGTGCTTAAAAATAGAACGAATCTGTTCCTTTAACATGGATTGTATAATTGATTCCTTAAATTGAGAATGTAGTGTTACAATATTCATATTGATTATTAAAATCGTGCGCAAATTAAAATAAACTTATATGTATTGTGTTGTAAAATTTGCAAAGAAAATCGCACGGTTAACAATCGGTGGAAAAAGATCTTTTAAAAGAAAGTCGATCAATAGAAATTCAATTGTTTCACGTAACTGTGTGCGACCTGAGTCACAGTTATAATAAACATATGTAGTAGAACATAAAAATCTATAAGTAAGTGATTCATGTATCAATTCCGAGACATGTTTAACTAATTATTATGTTTGTTTGCGAGAGAAAAAAAAACTCGATGTGAACTTTCAACTTTTCTTAAAGTTCTAATCTAATCTCCAATTCATCAATCAATATATTAGATCAGAGTTATAGTTAATGAAATAACTTAATGTGTTTATAATCTATTAATTATTCTTTCTGCTAATTACAACCAATATATTGTAATCTATTTCATATCATTAAATTCATTGTACTAATTTTGTAAATAATCTATAAAACGTCGTTAGAAAACGTTCAATCAATAGAAATGTTAATTTAAAGCAAAATATTAACGAAGAGTCAACGACTTTAGAAACGACTATAATGAAGATTCAATTGTGTTAATTTGACTAAGATGTTGTGAATTTAAAAATTCTTTAGCTTAATGGAGAATCAATCAAAAGAGAATCCATGAAATCTTGAATTTTCCTAAACTTTCAATCAGTAAACAAAGAACCAAAAACTTTGATCAATGAAGCAGCAATAAATCAAGATTGATCTCTTACTAAAATGATAAATGTATTGTTGCAACTGTGACATAATACATTGAAAAATTGTTGGTTCACACTGTTTTCATGCTTTGTTGTATAATTGTGCAATTTATTTAATAATTATGTATATTATTAAATAATTTTTATGGTATTACAAACAGTTTTTATGAATGTTGTTTGTAGGAAAGAACATTATGAATGAATGTAACCTACCGAGTATCACATTGATTTTAATTGAAACAATGACCACGAATAATAATTAAAAGGAATGCATCACAGCAAATGCAGAATTTCACATGAATCATCTCTCTCTCTGTACTGATGATGAGTGTCCACAGTGAAGAATTAAAAAAAAGAAACACAATTAATGTGTATAAGGAGGCCGAGTATGAAATGGCCCAAATTTGCATGGAACTGTTCTGCACAGAAC